CCTATATAAGAAAAGACTAATATGCAAATAGACTGAAGGGCGGAACAACTGAACAACTGGTCGCTATTATGTCAGCTGTGGCGGGATGGTGGAGCAAGTGAGCGGGGGCTCCAGACCAAGGTGGGGCGCCAAACCAAGGCGGGGCACCAGTTGCTGTCATCGGGGCCAGCCGCTGGTGATTACTGAAAATTCTTTGCTCCCGCACACCGCGGTCCTGCCTGGTGTTCGTACCTGCTGCAGGTGCCTGCCCTGTTCGCACCTGCTGCCAGCGCTGGAGCTGCCGCTCGCACCCACTGCTGGCGCCCGGCCCTGGCCCCCATCGCTCAGCGCCATCAGCAGGTACGAGCAGCAGCTGCCGGCCCTGACAGCCCCTCAGGGCTCTTCACCTCCTCCTGCTCCTGAGGGATGATCAGGACCGGCAGCCACTGCTTGCATCCACTGCCAGCACCCGGAATGGGTCCCGATCACTCTGCGCCCTCAGTGGGTGCAAGCGGCGGCTGCTGGCCCCAATCTCCCCTGAGTGCTTCTCCACCTCCCCTGGTCCTGAGGGGCAATCGGGGCAGCTGAGCCGCTGGTGCTCACTGACAGCGCTGGCCCCAATTGCTCCCCACTGTCAGCATGTGGGAGCGGTAACGGCAGGAGCGGGGCTGCCGGCAGACAGGGGACTGGGGGCCTTGGCGGGAGCGGCTGGGCGGGGGCGTGGAGGATGGGCCGAGACCCGCCCTTTTGCCTACCGCAGCCTCACAGCCCACAGTTCCTTTCAAGGTGCACGAATTCGTGCACTGGGCCCCTAGTCATTATTAAAATGCCCAGGGTTAAAGATAGAATCTTAAAAGCAGCAAGAGAAAAGCAGTTAGTTACCTACAAGGGAGTGCCCATATGAGTGTCAGCTGATGTATCAACAGAAACTTTGCAGGCCAGAAGGGAGTGGCAAGACATACTCAAAGTGATGAATAGCAAGGACCTGCCACCAAGATTACTTTACCTAGCAAAGCTGTCATGTAGAATTGAAGGTCAGATAAAGAGCTTCACAGACAAGAAAGAGCTAAAGGAGTTCATCACCACCACACCAGTACTATGTGAAATGTTGAAGGGTAGTCTTTAAGAGGAGGAAGAAGAGGAGGAGAAGGACAAAATATGAACAATAAAATGGCAATAAATACATATCTATCAACAATTGAATCTAAAAATCAAAATAAATGAATAAGAAATCTAATGAACAAAATAAACTGAAGAATAAAATAGAATCAGGCGTAGAAACATAGAACAGAATGATGAATATCAGAGGAAAGGTGGGTGGATGGGGAGGAGAGGTGGGAAAAGATTAACTAAAGACCTTATATGCATACATGCATTACCTAAGGACACATGCAATAGGGTGGTGATGGCCTGGGGCAGGGCAGGAATTGGGCAGAGGGGGAAGATGGGGGGGAAAAGAGGGACTTCTGTAATACTCTCAACAATAGATTTAAAATAAAAAATACATTTTTATTGATTTCAGAAAGGAAGGGAGAGGGAGAGAGATAGAAACATCAATGATGTGAGAGAATCATTGATCAGCTGCCTTTTCCTGCCCCCCTCTGAGGATCGAGGCCCCAACCCAGGTCTGTGCCCTGCTGGGAATTGAACTCCTGGTTCATGGGTCGATGCTCAACCACTGAGCAACACCAGCCGAGCATATAGTTTTTCTATTTTATTAGTTGTCTCTTACTGTGCCCAATTTATAAATAAAATTTTATTCTAGGTATGTGTGTATAGGAAAAAACACAGTATATGTATGTGTGTGTGTGTGTGTGTATAGGGTTTGGTACTATCCATGGTTTCAGGCATCCACTGCTGCAGATGAGAGGACCACATAGGTTGAATTTTCTAAATTAAATCTTCCCCGTTGCTTACATGATGATTTGAGTAGCTGCCCGAGTATTTCGGACGCGTTGCCTCCTGTTGTAATTCAGTTCTCCTTCTCCAGTCCAGTTTGCAACAATGTGGTGGTGATTCCACTTGAAATGAAACATTCACGGTTTTTTGTAAATTAGAATTTTTTGCATGTTAAGTTTTCATAGAGTAATATACAGCTCTATAAATGAAATTGCTTATTTTCTACTAAGAATGACTTATCAACAAATTTTAAAATTTAGAAATTGATACTTTATTATACAGTTCATCAGACCCCCCCTAAATCTGGATAAAGGCCATGGTCAAGAGTGGTACAGCAGCTTCAGGAAATGGAGAAAGATGGCAACGTGGGATATAAAATACCATGTAGTACAGCTTTTCCTTTATTCAGATGTTTATGTTGTTAAAAATCACTTACATCAAAGACCGTGTTGCTGCTGTCATTATAACGCTTGCATTGCTGAATGCCTGCTGTGTTTGGGTGTTCATTAGGTCTCTTACCCATGGTTTATGAGTCTTACAAGACCTCTGTGAGCCTTTCAGAGAGATTGTGAGGGCAGCAGCTGCGGTGCCTGTAATGCTCCGTGGTTGAGAGCTGTGCTGTGTTGCTGGAGCCTCTCAGGTGGAACAAACAGCTGGGGATCCTGAGTCGGAGCGTGGATTCCCTGCTTGTCAGGGCCCATCGGGGACCCGCCAGACACTTCACACTCCGGCTTCTAAGCTGCTCAGCCTGCGTGGCCCACTCTTGCCCTCTCTGGGGGGCCCCGCCCATCTCCAGGTGAGCAGGCCGTGTGATCCTTGAGGGGTGCCCTCCTGCTGGGTCCTGTCTGCAGCCTGAGAGCACCACCTCCGTCAGCCTAGTCCTGGCCCGGCTCCGCTGCCGCACGGGGACTTGACGTGGACCCTTCGTGCCTCGGTCTTAGGTGGGAACACTGATGGCAGAGGGCGTGGTGATGGAGGTGTCCCTTTACTTCCCGAGTTTTCACTCAGTAAGAAAGAGGAGTAAGAGATGCCAAGATGTTGGTTCTGAGCAATTGAGGGTGAAGTCAGAGCTGAGAAGGGGGAGAGGGGAGGCAAGGCCGGAGCCCAGGCTGGGGCTGCGCCCGCAGAGCCATGCGCGGGATGCCCGCGCGGCCCCCTCTCTTCAGAGCCGTGTCTCAGAGGTTGTCCTTAGCGCTTGTGTCCCATATGCAGGGTGCACATGCAGGCTCGTCTCAAGTCACTTGTGGAAACGAGCTTGTGGGGGAGGTCACAGCACAGTCCTCTGTTATCACAAAGACAGAGCAAAAAGTGCAGGACATTGAAAGTTACTTAAAGTTCCCTGTTTTTGTTGGTGGTGGTAGAGTATTTCCTTATTCTTATGTAATCTTATTTTTTATTTTTGTTTTAGAAATTTTCTAACACAGTCTTCTCCAATTCCTCCATATGTAGTGACAACAGTTTTGTATGTCAAAGGGCATCTATTCTTCAATTAATATCTTCCTTACTATAATTTTTCCACATGTATCATTTTTGTTTTAATTGTATATTTGTGTGTGCATACACTCCTAACTCATGTGATGCTTACATGTGATGAATATACATGCTATCATGCACGTGTTTTCCATGTTTATCCTCTAGCTCGGCTGTCCACCCCCATCTCAGATGCACACACACTGCTCCCTGCTCAGAGGCTCATAGAAAGCATATATACTTCCCCACATATTATCAAAGTGGGGTCATGTTACATTTCTTCATTTTTCCCTTGTCACTAAAAACAGTTATATTAAGTCCCTATTTATGGATGTTGATTTTGTTTCTTTCCTTAGTCACTACACCTACCTAATATATCTCAATGAAGTACTTTTATGTTTGGAGCATATATTGTCAATATTGTTTTTTATTAAATATTGAAGTGTGCTTGTTTTATATATATATTTATTTATTTTTATTGATTTCAGAGAGGAAGGGAGAGAGAGATGGAAACATCAATGATGCGAGAGAATCACTGATCAGCTGCCTCCTGCATGCCTCACCTTGGGGATCGAGCCCACAACCTGGGCATGTGCCCTGATCAGGAATTGAACCATGACCTCCTGGTTTATAGGTTGATGCTCCACCACTGAGCCACACCATCCGGGCCTTGTTTTCTATTTTATTAGTTGTTGTCAGGCAGATAGTACACTATAGCCACATGGTATATAGTATAGTTACATTCTTTTTATTAGTCAACAATATATGTCCGTTTATCCCCTCTTGCAGTGTTGCTTTAAGTTTTGCCAGCCTGACGGGAACAGAGTAGCTCTTACTGACTTTGCAGCCCTCTGTGTCGGGTTCCTAGACCCCTGGCCCTCCTTTCAGTGCCTGTGTGGGAGTCCTCAGGGTATTGTTGACTCATTGCCACGCTGTGTTCCCCGAGAAGGGACCTAAGGGACGCAGACGGAGAAGGGTCATGGGCGGAGGTCTGGTGGGAACCAGGCACCAGCACCCAGTAGTTTTCTCCCAGTGGAGTCCCTCGGGACACACTCGCTCCTCCAGCGAGGCATTGCGATGGCACAGAAAATGTCCTCATCAGAGGCGGGAGCGTTCCGTGGTGGCACACAGGCACCTCCGTCTAGGACAGAGCCGAGTGCCAGGCTTGCGGGAGGAAGCAGGGGTCTGGAGAAGCCACACTGCTGCTAGTTCAGGTGCAGAGACCACTTACCAGCCACTGGGCTGGGAATCCTCCCGAATCGAATCCTAAGCTCCCAGAGCCAAACCCTCGAAAGCAGGCTTTCCCAAGGAGAGCGAACGCTAGCCTGCTGTGTGGTCTTTTCTTTCTGTAAAAAGTGGCTTTTATTGAAATACTAGAGTCCCGGTGCACGACATTCGTCCCCTGTTTGGGGGGGGGAGGGGCGTCCCTCAGCCCAGCCTGTGCCCTCTCGCAGTCCAGGACCCCTCAGGGGATGTCTGACTGCCGTATTAGGCCTGCTCCCGCTCAGCCAGAAGCAGGGCTCGAAGGTGGGAGAGGCTCCCACCACCACCACTGTGCTTACCAGCCATGAGCCCAGCTTCTGGCCGAGCGGCACTCCCCCTGTGGGAGTGCACTGACCACTAGGGGGAAGCTCCTGTGTTGAGCGTCTGCCCCCTGGTGGTCAGTGTACGTCATAGCAACTGGTCATTCCATGTTTGGTCGATTTGCATATTAGCCTTTTATTACATAGAATAATTTATATACCATACAATTCGCTCATTTAAAGTGGATTTTAGTACATCACAATTGTAGGACGTTTTCATCACTTCAGAAAGGACCACTGTACCGTACCTTCAGCTGTCACTCCTCGCCCCCACCACCACAGCCCTCGCTTTCCTATCTGAGCAGCCACTAACATGCTGTCTGTCTGGATTTCTGGGCTCTGGACATTTTGAGTGAATGGAATCATGTGCCATGTCGTCTGTGGTGACTGGCTTCTTTCACTCGGCACAGTGTTCTCAGTGTCCTCCATGTTCAGCTGTAAGTCCTTCATCCCTTTTCATGGCTGAATAATATTCCACTGCTTGAATACACAGTGTTTGGGAAGTGTAAGCTTTGATTCACATTAAGAGCTGAAAATTCTTGTTTTCTGCTAGTTTCATTAGTTTTAAAATGATGTCGCATGATAACACCTACAAAAATGCTTTATGCTGGATATTGTGCAAATTTTATCCCCTTAAGTGGGACCAACTAATCTCTCTCACTTATTGTCAATGTGCAAAACTATTTTATCTTTTTGATTGTAGTTGACACAGTATTATATTAGTTTCAGGTGTACAACACAGTAATCCGGCATTTCTCTCTCTTACGAGTGATCATGCTAAGTCTGGTGACCATCTTGCACTGAATGGATTATTACCATGTTATTGAGTAGATTCCCTGTGCTATGCGTTACCTCTGGGACTTATTTTAGACCTGGAAGTTTGTACCTCTTAATCCCTTCACCTTTTCGCACATGGCCCCTCTCCCCTCCCACAGGCAACCATCAGTCTGTTTGCTATAGGGTTTGGTGTCACATTGATATTTAAACAATTTTTAATGGTAAACTATGTTTTCATGTTCATATTAGAACATTAGTTTTAATCTTTTTATGATTATAAATTCAACATTTCAAATATGTATTCACTGTTTGTGTTCAAATAGTAAAGTAGGGGCTTTCTTGATTAGCCTTTCCCTTTATGTAAGCAGTGTTTCTCTCTGTTGTAAAGTTGCTTTGCGGTCATGTGGATGTGCAATATGGAGTCAGTCACTTTGATAAGTTCACCTGGGAGAGAGAGAGCCTTCTTTCTTACCAAAAGGCCGTAAGGAAAACGAACAACCAAAGGAACCGTGTCAGATGCCAGTGTTACATCGTTTTCAAAACATCAAGACAATGGCTTGAACTTTAAAGAAAATTTGTTCATCAACATTATTTTTAGCAGTTTAAGAAAATACCTTTTTCATCGTAAGCGATTAAATCTCTTTTAAAAGTAACACATAAAAACATTTAAGGCCTTGTTCAAAATAGCCTTCCTTTTTCGTTTTCAGAACTTCATGTTCATGCGCCCTGTTTCAGTGGACAAAGTCCTCCCAGTTTGCGGCCGCAGGAAAGCGATGGACGCGGATGCTCGCAGAATTGTCGGAGACTGCAGCGCATCCCAGTGGACACGTCAGGATAGCACCCGTTGCAGCGTCGTCTCCCACGAGCATCCCCCGCTCAGCCTCCACGCCCACAGAGCCGCGTGAACATGGCGTGGGTGAAGTTCCTGCGGAAGCCGGGCGGTGGCCTGGGGAAGGCCTACCAGCCGGGGAGCCTGCTGTCGCTGGCGCCCACCAAGGGGCTGCTCAACGCGCCGGGCCAGAACAGCTGCTTCCTCAACAGCGCCGTGCAGGTAGGCCCGCTCCCGGCGGGCGCTGGGCGGGGAGGCCCCTCTCCTGTGTTTCCACTGCACGTTCAGAATGGAGGTAGTGACTGCAGTGACCTTGTCTCACTTAATGGTGGCAGCAGTATGTGGGCTGGGCACTTCGGTTATTATAACAGAAGGAATTATTTTTTTCAGCAGGATCATATATTACTACGATATGAAGATATCATTTGATTTATAGTCCCTACTTAGTAAATTAAGAATATGTTTCTCAAATACATAAAATAGTTTTTGAATCAGCTAATTTCCTCCCATGCCGCCTACATGCACACACATCCACATACTTTTTAAAAGGAAATCCAGTAGGATCCCCACAGACAGCATAAAAGGAAGCAAGCCATCTGTGTCGAAACGAGCTGGGGTTTTAATCTCAGTTCCAGCTTCCTCACCCCCACTGTGCCGTAGCCCACCTCTGTGGGTGGATTCATGATTGGGACTCCACTGTTTTTGTTAAATTGGAGGTTGGTCCATTTTGCTTCTGTCCTTGTTGCAGTTCTTGTAATTAACAAGTATGTGTTAGCCTGCTTTTCTGTCTTAGATAAATGCCCTTATGTGTGGTATGGTTTCTGTTCCCCAGTCCCAGCTTTTGTAGGATCTTGTGTCCTTCCGACCACTACCAAAGAGGATTTAGAATGTTAGGCTGTTACTCTGTTGACCTCAGAATGTACCTTCGAAGAATTTATTGAAAATAAACCACTTTTCACATATTTTCCATTGCTACTTTTCCCTCCTGACAGCTCAGAGTAGAAAGACAGGTACTGGTTGGTTAGCCCCTTAGTTAAATGAGCCCATCGGGACTGCTCAGACATCCCAGCAAGGACACGCACAAGGGAAAGGAAATGGAGAAGTGCCCGATAGGATGCACTTTTTAAATGAGCATCCGTGACCTTCCCATGAAGAGGCTCTGCACGTCCTACGCAGCTGGCCTCGCGGGTGCTGGCATCCTGCGTGCAGCCCGCGTGGCGTCTGCTGGCACCTCTCAGCGTTTCCCGTGGCCCAGGCTGTCGGCCATGAGGTCTGGAGTTCTTGTGTGTCCGGGGAAAACTCAGCTTCGTTTTGTTGGTGAAAGATGCTTTCACCACTAAAGGCGTCTGAGTGGCCTGCTTTCTCTTCAGTTCTGTGCAGCTCTCGCTCCCTCTCTTTGGCTCACGTTGTTTCTGATGAGAAGCTGTCGTCTTACCTGTCCCTCTGCCCACGTCCTCTCCTCTCTGTCCCTGGGCGGCACAGTGGTCGTGTGGTACTTCTGCATCGCCCTCGTCATGTGTCCTGTAGTGGGTTTGCTGAGAACTGGTTTATAATTGTAACCAAATCGGGAAACTCTGACCATATGTCTTCAGGTTTTCCTGTCCCTCCTGTGGAGGCTGCACGTACGACACACTGGCGGCTGTGGCGGGAATGACAGCGGCAGGGCAGTTGGCACTCCTTGCCTGCCAGCTCTGCCCGGCACTGCGCTCCCACTTTAAAGGTCATAGCTGAGTGCTTGGCCCTTACCAAGAGCCCTGCGGGCGAGGCAGCCACGGTGCCCCACGGCAGCGATGTCAGTTTTCTCAGACCGACTTTAGGTTCTGGACTGATTTATTTAAACAAGTACAGTCGTGTCCCCCCCCCCCCCCCCGTCTTTTAGTAGCAAATGATGACTGGATAGTTGTAGCCAAAGTATTGGGGTTATTTCTAACTGCTCTTCCTACCGGCTGCACCCCGTCCCAAGCCAGGCGCCCTCCCCTCAGTGTGGGGGGAGAGGCGGCCTCTGCTCGCCCTGTCTTCTCGCTCACCCGCTCTGACCCACTTGCTGCGCTCTGGTCTCAAGTCCAGTTGTGTTTCCTCTGAATTTCACTTCGTTCCAAGTATTACGATCACTTCCTCTGTCGTGTCTGCCAAGTCCCCGCAGTACCGCGTGTCCTGCTCATAGAGCCCTGGCCTGAGGCCTCCGCTGCCTGCCCGCGCTGCTCAGGCTCCCTGGGCGCCGGAGGCCTCGCCGGCTCCTGCTGGTGCTGTCTTGGGGGGGGGTGGTTCTGCTGTTGTGCAGGAGGTTAAAGGCCGTCTGGTCTGCAGTTTCTAGGACATTTCCGCCTCTTCTCGCGGAGCCTCACCGCCTCTCCCGCTCTCGCCGCAGGTGCTGTGGCAGCTGGACATATTCCGGAGGAGCCTGCGGGCCCTGACGGGGCACGTCTGCCAGGGCGAGGCCTGCATCTTCTGTGCACTGAAGGTACCTCTCCGAGCTCCGACGGCTGCCGTGGTTGTCTCTCCAAGTGTTTACTTTTCTTGACAGTTTGATCTATTTGCCATATTTGATAGCTCACTTGTAATTAATGTTCATTGTCAAGTGATTTATAATTCTGAGGATGAATTCTTAAAGTATGATTTATTTGGGTTTGTGTTTTCATTTTTCACTTCTATACAAGGACAGTTAAGTTAATATTCTACAGGGTGTGAAATTGTTGGGAACATTACCTTTTACTTCAAGCATGTCAAACTCAAAGGCTACTATGGGCCAAATAAACAAGGTTTAAGTTGATGTGGGCCAAAAAAAACAAAAGCTTCAATTTTCATGGAAACATAGGTTTATTTCAATAGAGAATTGCTGAATACAAAGGGCTGAAATAAATGAGTCATCGTTAACATAAAAGAACAGAACATTTTAATAAAAACTAATATTTTTCTTGAACATTAGCTTACCAGACACTGAATAACTGCACAAATTAGTAAGCGTAACGCAAATAAAGCTATTTTTCTTGTTCTCCGAAAGCAAAATATTTCCTGTTTTGCACACCAAGCAAGTCAGTCCAAGACTAATGCCGTGGCCATTGGCTGCTAAAATATTCGCTGCTAGGATTAGTGGAGAGAAATGGTGCACCTGTGCGTAAGGTGTGTGAGGAAAATGAATACAACAAGATTATAGTAATTAGTCATTAGTGAACGTTATTGTTCGTTATTAATAATTATGTATAACAGGATATTGTAAAGATTAAGTCATGAAATTTTAATTGAAACGTTTCTTACATACTGTTATATTGGCTGGGCCACAAAAATATTCATTGTGGGCCATGTATGGCCCACGGGCTGTGAGTTTGACATGCTCTTTTTGCATTATTTTGAACTCCTAAATTCTGGTTGCCAGGGAAACAGCAGTGAACAGAATGATATAGCCCTGCTTTCATGGAGCCTCTATTCTAGGGAGGGGAGGCACATCACATGGTAGTAACTGCAGATGAGGGCAGCGGACCAGGAAGGGGATAGAGCCGAGCAGCAGGAAGCCTCCCTGGGAGAGCGGCATTTAAATTATGGCCTGAAAGGTGACAGTGGACTAGACGTTCAGGCGGGCAGGGCCCTAGGGGCGGTGAGCATGACAAGGTCCTGGAGACCTGGCTGCAGCCACTGTGTGGGCGCGGGTGCCCAGGGAGCTCAGGTGGGGAGCAACGATCACAGCCTGGGGTGCCCTGTGAGCTCGGGTGTGGGGAGCAGTGATCACAGCCTGGGGTGCCCGGGAGCTTGGGTGTGGGGAGCAGTGATCACAGTCTGGGGTGCCCGGGAGCTCTGGTGTGGGGAGCAGTGATCACAGCCTGGGGTGCCCGGGAGCTTGGGTGTGGGGAGCAGTGATCACAGCCTGGGGTGCCCGGGAGCTCGGTTGTGGGGAGCAGTGATCACAGCCTGGGGTGCCCGGGAGCTCAGGTGTGGGGAGCAGTGATCACAGCCTGCCTGCGGAGTCCTCTGTGCCCCTCCTGTAAATGGGTCTGGTCCCTGAGTGTGGGCTGCCTGCATCCCCATCCAGGACATAGGATGTGACTGCGGATGCTGCAGGCCTGAGGCGAGGAGCCTGGAGAAGGTGCCAAGGCTCCTACCCGGCTCTGTCTGGCAAGTGGTCATCCTCAGAGGGCTGTGGTCCAGGGAGAGAGCCAGGCTGGCACCACAGCCCACCACCAGCAGCTGCCCGGCATCAGTGAGGGACTCGATGAGTCCATTCCTAGCGCCAGGCTGTGCCACAGGCCTCCTCCAGATCAGGGTTGAGCTGTCCCCAAGTTCAGATTTGTGCCCTAAGCGAGGCCGACTGTCAGTAACAGTGGGGGGGTGGGGGGTGGGGGGGGGCTCACCATGGAGTGATACATAACGCACAGGAGGCGGGGCATGGAGGGCCTTTCCGGCCTCTGTGAGGACCTCAGCTTTTCCCGTGCATGATGCCAGGAGTTGGGGTCCCTGGCATAGAGGGTGATGCCATCTGTTTTAACTGGATGCTGTGTTTGGACTGGACTTGGCTACAGGAATGAGAATAAAGAGAAGAGATACAAGGCAGAAGCAGGGAGTCCATATAGAATCAGCAGTTCTCAACCTGTGGTCGCGACCCCTGAAAATACATCCTGCATATCAGATATTTACATTACGATTCATAACAGTAGCAAAATTACAGTGATGAAGTAGCAACGAAAATAATTTTATGGTTGGGGGTCACCACAGCATGAGGAACTGTATTAAAGGGTCACAGCATTAGGAAGGTTGAGAACCACTGAATAGATTAAGCAACTCTTTTATGTCATTGAAATCCTGTCCTGGAATCTAAGATTTTATCAACACTTTTTTAAAAAATCGATTTTAGAGAGAGGAAGGGAGAGGGAGAGAGAGAGAGAAACATCAGTGATGAGAATCATGGATCGACTGCCTCCTGCACACCCCACACCGGGGATCAAGCCTGCAACCCGGGCCTGTGCCCTGACTGGGAATCGAATTGTGACCTCCTGGTTCATAGGTCGACGCTCAACCACTGAGCCACACCGTTCGGGTTATTAACATTACTGAGTTCCTGCTGTTTTTCGTGTGATTAGATGTTTGTTCTTGGTTAACATAATTTTAATTCCTATGGTACACTTTTGATTCAAAACTTCAGATCAGCGGGGAGCAGTGGAACGCGGGCCTCACTCAGGCACACGCAGCCGGGAGAATCCAGGCCGGGCCCGAGCAGCCTGCCCGGCTCTCCTGCATGCGGCGCTCGGTGGAGAGGCTGGGCAGCCGTGTCCGCACGGGGCTTTTCTGTGGGTTTCAGGGCAGAAGACTTAGTGTTGGTTTCCGTGGGTAGCGTGGGTGTCAGCGTGTCGGAGTGAGATATGGGCGTGTTGGCAGTTGTTGGCGTTGCGCTCACGCCTGTGCTTGTGGTTCGCAGACCATGTTTGCTCAGTTTCAACACAGCCGGGAAAAGGCCCTCCCGTCGGACAATGTGCGGCGCGCCCTGGCCGAGAGCTTCCGGGACGAGCAGCGGTTCCAGCTGGGCCTCATGGACGACGCGGCCGAGTGCTTTGTAAGGACTGGGAGCCTCCTGCCCGAGCTCGCGTCCTGGCCCCTCACTGCCGGCTCGCACACAGTGGCACGGTCACAGCGCGGAGCGTCAGAGCCCTCGCAGCTCAGCCGGGCTCCGTGCACCTCTGGTTTTGCCCTTGGTGATGCTCCAAGTTTTACTGAGTGTTAGGCGACTAGGGCAGTGGTCGGCAAACTGTGGCCCCTTGAGTGTGGCTCTTCCACAAAATACCACGTGGGGGCACGCACATGCAGTGCGATTAAAACTTTGTGGCCACACTCAAGGGGCCAAAGAGCCGCATGTGGCTCGTGAGCTGCAGTTTGCCGACCACGGGACTAGGGTATTTCAAAATGTATTTGTTGGAGCAAAAAGGTTCATTCAATTGAAGACATCACTTCAGCCGGCGCCCCACCCCCTGGGCCTGCAGGTGCGCACAGCCGGGGCACCCGTCTAGTGGGCAGTGACTCGGGGCAGCAGGGCTGGCACGCACCCCATGGCAGGTGGAGAGGCTCGGCGGGGGGAGGCCTGGGACTGTCGCTACGTGGATGAGCAGAGTGTCCCGTGCTCCGTGCTCCATCATGGACCCTCTGCACCTTCCTCGGTGTGTCAGTGAGAGATGCTGCCTGTATGTGAGACACAGCTGCTGCTTCCTTCCTTGCATCCAGTCAGCACCCCCCCCCTCGCCCCCCCGTGCTTCCTCAGGGCCCTTGTAGCGTTTTCCTTTCTCACGTTTTCCTGTCCCCCCTTCCTGCCACAGGCTCCAGCGACGCCTCCTGCCTAGTGGCCTTTCAGCCTGGCCCCTTACAGTCTGATTTTTTAAAAATATATTTTTATTGATTTCTGAGAGGAAGGGAGAGGGAGAGAGAGAGAGAAACATCAGATGAGAGAGAATCGTTGATCGGCTGCCTCCTGCATGCCCCCTACTGGAGATGGAGCCCACAACCCGGGCATGTGTCCTTGGCCAGAATTGAACCCGGGACCCTTCCGTCTGCAAGCTGACGCTCTATCCACTGAGCCACACCAGCGAGGGCCTTACAGTCTTTTTTTAATGGCCCTGGTTAATACCATTTTCTTCCGTCTAATGCTTGCTGATACTTCTGTGACTCGGGTCTAGACTCTCACCTGACACCTGACACCTGACACCTAAGGCCCTTCAGTTGAACTGCAGGCCCTCGCTCTGCGTCCCCTGGACTGTCCCTGCTAGTGAGTGGTCACAGTCCCTTTTCGCAGCTTTGCTCAGGGCTCCGAAATACTCAGTGTCTGATGTATTCAGTTGTCCAGGCGCGGCCTCAGTCGGGCCTGCTGGACATGGCAAGGTCACGGTCCCCGTAGTGCCCCGGGTTTCTGTTGTTGTCTTTAGAGAGCATCTTCTCAGCTCCTTGCCTGGGGGGCTTCTCAGCACACGTGCCACGGTGACTAAACGCCCAGAGCAGCACTCACAGCATGAAATGGGCTTTTACGGTTCTCACCTCCATCATCGGTCCATGCTCTAAACACTGGGCACAGTACTGAGATCTGTAGTTCACTTCACTGACAGGTACTAACACATGATACAACAGCTCATGGAGACTTAGCAGTCCAGGCTTGATAACTGTTTTCAAGGTGGTTGAAGGGATCCATTATTTACTCTTTGAGAAAAGAGGGTCATTTGTTAAAGTAAATGTCTTGGTGATGTTAGACCTGAGCTGTCCCATGAGCCTGTGGGGAGCACACCCCTGCGTGGTGAGTTGCAGGTGTTATCATTGCATGGACCATCCCGTGGACGTGAGTTACGTGGACTGTCCACGTGAGCCACGTAGGATTGTGTTTCTTAATTAACAGGAAACATAGGAAACTGTTCCCTGGTATTAAGTCCTAGATGTCAGCTACCATAACTTGATTTTTAAAAAGATTTTTAAAATCTTTATTAAAACCATACATTGCCGAAACCGGTTTGGCTCAGTGGATAGAGCACCGGCCTGCGGACTGAAAGGTCCCAGGTTCAATTCTGGTCAAGGTCATGTACCTTGGTTGCAGGCATATCCCCAGTAGGAGATGTGCAGGAGGCAGCTGATCGATGCTTCTCTCTCATCGATGTTTCTAACTCTCTATCTCTCTCCCTTCCTCTCTGTAAAAAATCAATAAAATATATTTAAAACAAACAAACAAAAAAACCCATACATTGTTTTTTTCGTTAAATTTATGAAATGAATGTTTCTTTTTATTTGATGGTCTTAAGCTGACGCCACAGGTGGTGAACAGTTGACCAACACTCGAGGTGTCATTAGCAGGAAAGCTGGCAATAAGTAGGGCACTCCTAGTCCAGCCTGGGAAACTGTAAAAGGCTTAAGTCCGTGAGGTTATAAAGGGCTGTATAAAGGGAAGTGTCTCTGCCAGATTCACCACTCATATGTCTTCTGCTTTTGAACCAGGAAAATATCTTGGAGAGGATCCACTTCCACATCGTGCCCAGCCGGGACACGGACATGTGCACCTCCAAGTGCTGCGTCGCGCACCAGAAGTTTGCCATGACGCTGTACGAGCAGGTGAGGCGCCGACCTCGCTCCTTAGATGCCGTTTGTGTTCCACGAGCCGTGCATTAAGCGTCTGTTTCTGCCGCAGTGCGTGTGTCGTAGCTGTGGGGCCTCATCAGACCCTCTGCCTTTCACAGAATTCGTGCGGTACATTTCGACAACAGCCCTGTGGTAAGAACCGGAAAGCACCTTCACCAAAGCTTTAATAGCACAGCGAGGCCCAGCGAGCATTTACTTTGTAAGCCCACCGCACCCGTGAGTATCTGCTCTCTGTCTGGGACTCGGGCTGCGACCATCGGAAGTACTCAGTGGTGTCTGTCTCAGTCGGGTGTTTCTGAGTTAGCCAGATGCACCCACCACTTAGTGAAATGTGCAAAACATGAGTCAAATGCATGCCTGTTCACATCTAGAGCAAGTCTTTGGAACTGCGCAGGAGGGCTGGAAATGACTAACAGCCTGGCCGTGTGGCTCAGTGGTTGGGCGTTGTCCCATGCACCGAGAGAGTGCTGGTTCGATTCCTGGGCAGGGCACATGTGTGGGCTCGATTCCCCATGGTGGGCGTGCAGGAGGCAGCCGATCGCTGATCTGCTTTCACATCGATGTTTCTCTCTCTCCTCCTTCCTCTCTCTCTAAAAATCAACAAAATTATGTTTTTAAAAAATGACAAGCGAGTGGTCAGGGAGCTGCACATGACTCCCTGACTTCGGCAGGTGTGACCTTTGTAGTGGCCGTGTCCCCTGTGAGCCCCGCGTGTGCCCCCGTGTGATGGAAGCGGGGTAAGCAGGAAAGAAAGGAAGCAGTGAACACAATCCTCGATAGGTCTGTGGCCTGAAGGCCTCACCATCACCTGGGATAGGAATTTCCTGGCTTGCCCGCCTGCTCCGCTCTGCCTGCCCAGGAAACAGTACTAGTTAGGGACCCAGAAGTATCCCCAGACTTCACACAACCACCATCCCTTGAACACTCCCAGTAGGCAGTGGAGAGAATGCTATGTGCTGTGTGTGTGCAAACACTGACAAAGGTCACAGATGCTGCAGGTGTTTTAGTGCCGAAGCCAACGGGGGTCGCTGACCTCAGTCAGATCCGTCGCTGGTTACTCAGGCCACAGCGTCTCCTCCCGCAGTGAGGCGGTGCTCCTCATCCACCGTCCCTTAGCCCTCCTCCTCTGGGTGCAGCACAGCCGTTCCTAAACGCTGTTGGGCAATAGCAACTGGGTTACTTGTGTGTGTTTAGCATCTTGCTTGTCTGTACAGAGTTGGGGGGATGTCGGTTTAGAGAAACATTCCCTGAACTTGAATCATTTGCAGCTGGTTTGTTCTCTGTGCATGAAGCGTAGGGTGGTTTGGAACAGGAGAGCCGCACAGAGGGAGGGCGGTAAGCCTTCGCTTGGCAGCTCCTGTGCTCACGCGTCCCTGCGCAGTCGCCGAGGCCATACCAACCAGCTCTCTGTCCGTGCGCCCTGGCCCGCGCCCCAGGTCGCAAGAGCCCAGACTGAATTCTGATAGTCTCCTTTGTGGGCATTGAGGATTGGAGATCACTTATTGAATGCTTACTGTGTTCCAGGCTTTTCATAAATTGTCACTTTAATCTTGACAACAACACTGTTTCGTTGATGAGGAAATAGGTTTAATAAGGTTGATCTGATACATAGACCAATTAAGATTGAAAGCCAGGTGGGTTTCATTTCCGATTCAGTTTTTGGTTGTCCACTCCCCCGACAGCTGGGTCTGATGAACTGTCTGCGTTGGTGCTCTCTGTGCATGGTGAGGTGCGTGAGGAGGAGGGTGCTTTAGCCGTGGCTGAGTATTGTATGCTGTTTACCGCTGACCTGTCAGTATGTCCTGCCCTGGGACACTCACATCAAATAGAGCCATGGCGTCTGGAATGGAGAGGAAGGGTACTTGAGCCACATTGCAGTCTCTTGGAAATGCTTAAATACTTGCCTAAAGAGACTTGATGCGTGTATGTAAAAGGTGACTCCAGGGGAGGCCGCATAGAAAGTGGCAGGCACCTCGGTCCCGATTACATGGCGAGCGTGCCCGAGGGGAGTGGGAGGCGCGCTGCCCACGTTGCTCTGGCGGCCTTCCCAGTGGGCAGCCTGCTCTCATCTGGAAGGAACTGCCCCTGGGAGCCTTGGGCCAGAGAGGGAGCCTGCCCACAGCCTGTTAGGTCTGAGTCTGTACCCACACCCTCAGTAACTGCTGTCATAATCCAAGTCATAATGTAAAACAGATATTTGACTTACAGCTACCTTTAGACAGAGAGCATCTCACCTCGTTCGTGTAGTTCCAAACGGTGCTATACTTCCTGTGCTATTCCATTCTTGACCTGATTTTTTATCACATACCTGCCAAATTTCATGGTTTTCACTTTATGGAAATTTATGGTTAATTTTTTATACAAAATCATGTTTTAAGACAGAAATAGTGATCCTGCATATATTGATAACTTGGTATTTTTCATACATAATTTCATACATAGGCCAGATTTGGGACTGCTGCTTTCTTTTGTAGCAACGAAGTTGGAAGAATGACGGACAGGCATGAGCGTGTGAGGCCTGAAATGTTTGCGGAATTGTTGCAAGCAGCGAACACCACGGATGACTATCGCAAGTGTCCCGTAAGCACAGTTCGGGGCGCCCAGTGGTTTCTGTGTGTGCGCTTAAGGAGACATCCAGAAGTTACCATGTCATTTACTGTCTATGAAAGTACTTTTAAGAATTCCTTTTTGCAATGTTATTTTAGGTAACTATACCATGCGAGCTGTTTATCTCAGTACTAGTTCTTGAAACACTCAAAATTGGAAGGATTTAAGGTAGCATATGTAAATTTTTTTTTAAGTTCAGAAATCTATCATTTCACTAAAGACACAATTTCTTTTTTTTTTCTTTGAACTTTACAAATGGTATTCTTTTCTGATGCACTATTATTAATCATTTCAGGGATTCTATTTTTGATTTTTTTTAGACTGAATTCTTGTTTTAACATAGTTACAAAAATACTGAACAAAAGCACTTTGATTTAAAATAAACTTCCTGTTTAATCAATAATTAAGAGAAATAGTTGTTAGAAATTTATTTTAATATGCTAAAGAATAAATTGGCAATGCATGTTAAGAGTGTGACTGCATCATGCAAACTATATAAGGCGCCCCCTGTGGTATGTCTGTTTCAGTAATTCCTAAACTTGCCTTCTGTGTTTTTCTTTAGAGTAACTGTGGCCAGAAAATAAAGATCCGCCGCGTCCTGATGAACTGCCCGGAGATCGTCACCATCGGCCTGGTCTGGGACTCCGAGCACTCGGACCTGACCAGCGACGTGGTTCGGAGTCTGGCAACGCACCTCTCTCTTCCCGGGGTATCTCCGCCTTTCCTTCTCCTCCCTTTTAGTTTTGCACTCTCGGACACACATGCAGCGGCCGGTTTCCAGAACTAAGTGTTCTTTCTCAGGGAAGGAGGTTCATTGGAACTCTCTGGAGCTGCCCCAGTCAGGCTAACAACTTCCTCAGAGCCCAGGCCGGGAGGGGCTTTCGCTTCTCACTGCCTCCTGCTGCGGCTCTTGTCACTCCAGAACAGCGGTTCTCAACCTGTGGGTTGCGACCCCTTTGGGGGTCGAACGACCCTTTCACAGGGGTCGCCTAAGACCATTGGAAAATACATATATAATTATATATTGTTTTTGTAATTAATCACTATGCTTTAATTATGTTCAATTTGTAACAATGAAAATACATCCTGCATATCAGATATTTACATTACAATTCATAACAGTAGCAACATTACAGTTATGAAGTAGCAACAAAAATAATGTTATGGTTGGGGGTCCCCACAACACGAGGAACTGTATTAAAGGGCCGCGGCCTTAGGAAGGTTGAGAACCACTGCTCTAGTGTGATGGTGATGTGATCATAAATGTAAATATGAACTGTTGGCTTATATGCTTTTACCATCTTAGTTAACTATTTTGAATTGGTTGATGTTACAATGAAACTTTTAGAAAATTATCTTTTAGGTGACAAGTTTAATGTGTGTTCACATATGTGATTCAATCAAGAACGATCAGAAAATGGGTGATTTGTTTCATATTTTGAGTCTGTAGATGTACCGTGTCAGTTCTGTTGGAGGCACCGTATTACTGAGCTAAAGTCAGGACTTCCTGTACTGCTCCTGAGGCGATGGAAGTGTAACTGGGGGAGCGCGCAGGGCCGTGATGTCTTCACACCGGGCAGCGCAGGGTGGGCAGCACGCCCGGAGATGCTGTTTATGGGGAGTCAGATACATGATAGCACATCACTGCTCTTCACTTTTAAGGATACAGTCCTAAATTACTAATTTTCCAAACAGCTTTTTTATAGGGTTACTGATGAAAATGCCAAAAACAGTGAACTTCACCTCGTCGGTCTGATCTGCTACACCAGCCGGCACTACTGTGCCTTCACATTTCACACCAAGAGTTCCAAGTGGGTGTTTTTCGATGACGCAAATGTGAAAGAGGTAGGTGACACTTCTGTGAACTAGGATGCTTACTGTGGTTTATGCTCTTCAGGAATAAATGATGTAATAATGACCTACAATAATAAAAGCATAATATGCTAATTAGACCAGATATCCTTCCGGACAACCTTCTGGATGAAGCTGGGGCTGCGAGGGAAGCCCAGGTCCCGAGTGCCTGCTGGCAGCTGGAGGAAAGCTGGTGCCGGCAGCTGGGGGAAGGAAGGCCTACTCTTGCACAAATTTTGTGCTAGGGCCTCTAATATTAATATAATAGTGACAGTGATAAAAGGAATGTATCTATATATATATAAAAGCCTAAGTGACTGAACAACCGGTTGCTATGACACGTACTGACCACCAGGGGGCAGGCGCTCAATGCAGGAGCTATATCCTGGGGGTTAGTGCACTCCTACAGCCAATCTCATGGCCGGCCAACCTCCCACTGTCCCTTCCCACCTCCTGGCCAAGGGACCCCACCCATGCACAAATTCATGCACCAGGCCTATAGTAATTATATAGAATGATTATTAGATATAAATGCTTATATAAAATAATAAATGATTTTAATGACAGTTCTTGGAATCCTTTTATTAGTTTTTGAAATCAGGTTTGTTTTGAAGCTGGCTCCATATCTAGAATAATAAAAAGGCGACAAATAAATGTTAGTGTAGCTACCAGGGACCCATACACACCATCCTTCTGTCTGATACACAAAAGCTTTGGACAGTTCACCAGAGGAGACAGGTGAACAGCCCTTGCACTGACACACAGCCTGATTGGGCACAAAGAAACACACTCAGTTCACAGTGAGGTTCAGACTCAGCTGTTAGGAGGATAAATTCCAAAGCCCGACCTCACCAGGAGTGTGGAGGGCATCAAGCAGCCAGGTCCCTGATGCAGGAGCATGCAGTGCCGACCTCACCGGGAGCGTGGAGGGCGTCAAGCAGCCAGGTCCCTGACGCAGGAGCATGCAGTGCCGACCTCACCAGGAACGTGGAGGGCAGCAAGCAGCCAGGTCCCTGACGCAGGCGTGTGGCAGTGCCACGTGGAGCAGCCACCTTAGAGAGGTGCGTCAGCTTCTTGCACACGTAATCTTAACCATGCAGCCAGCAGCACCACTCCCGGAGGACGTGTCCATACACAGCCTGCCCTTGAGTGTCCGTGGGAGTTTTATTCCTATAACCCCACTGGGACCCTGAATGTCCATCAGCAGGTGAGCAGGTAACCACGTTGTGGTCCAAGCGCACAGTGGAGCTTGATGCCCATCAGACAGAAATGAACTGACACGTGTGGAACATCCTAAACCATTGTGCCAATGACAGAAGCGAGACGCCCGGCCAAATACGGATTCCACTGACACAAAATTCCCTGACAGGAGAAAACAGTGACGGAAGGCCCTGCAGAGGGAGCGAGGAGTGAGGCTGCATGCCTGTGCACACTCGTCAGAATGCGTGGGCTTGCCGTGTGCCTGGGAGGTTGTAGTTCATGTGATTATGCTCAGTAAAGCCAACGGGAAATTCTGGTGCTTATGTTTTAAAAGCAGCTTTTACTTGGATTTCTTCAGGCTTTGCTATAGCAGCTTATTAAGAGACTTCACCTGCGTCCGTGAGTAGACCTTTTGGCCGTCCTACTTGGCACCCACATCATTTAAATTGTCAAAGCTCAAAGGAGGACATGGGTGTGCAGTCACCCTGTGAGTTTATATTTGTTTTGCTTTCAAGTTAATCTAGTTCCTTGAGTATGTCAGCGTCCCTGGTAAGGAGGGTCAGCAGCTGAGCGCGTAGTTTGAAAAATTCTTCAGACTTTTTTACAGCCCTCCCTTCCCTGCAGAAGCCAACATTCTAGAACGAACCAGTTCCTGTTTGTTTGGTTTGGTTTTGTTTTTAAATTAGCGTTATAGAGGTACTAGAGGCCCAATGCATGAATTCGTGCACAGGTGGGGTCCAGCCAGCCTGGCCCCGATCAGGGCCCAGTTAGGGCTGGGCTGGCTGGCCGTGGAGTGGGGCTGTGGGCGAGCTGACCCTCCCCCAATTGGTGTGTAGGGGGGGTGGATTGGGGGAGGGGCTGCGGGAGGTTGGCTGCCAGCCCTGCCCCTGATCAATGTCGGGGGCTGGTAGGGGGTGGAGCTGGCTAGGGGAGGGGCTGTGGGCTGATTGGAGTTGTGGGGGCCTTTTGGGGGTGGGGCTGGAAAGGGGGAGGCACCACAGGCAGTTGGCCAGCTGTCCCCGCCCCTAATTGGGGTTGGTGGGGCAATCGGGGCAGCCAGCTGGGGGGGGGGGGTCACAGGAGGTTGGCCACTGGCCTCACCCCCCATCAGCCAGTTCACTGGCTTCAGTGGGCGTCATAGCAACTGGTCGTTCTGGTCATTACAGTGTTCTGGTCACTGGCTTTTTATATATATATGTAATTTACAAACGTTAAAACATACCCATGTAAGTGTTTGGCAACTGTACACACATCTGTGTCACCTCTGCACCATATAGCACAAAGCATGCCCCACCCCCCGCATGGTGTCACGTTCCTGTCGGCCCCTCCCACCCCGCCCAGGAATCCCGGATGCTCTGTAGATTAGTTCTGCTCCCTCTTCAGCATCGTGGGGATGGCCTTCCCCGCACACATCCCTCTGAGGCTGGCTTGCTTCGCCAAGCACATGCCTTTTAGGATTCACGCGTGCGGTGTTCCATCCTGTGGCTGTATAGAACAGTGGTCCTGTTAAGGTAGGAAGAGTCTTGGTGTGAACACGTTTTTCCGTTGCTCCCAGCACCAGGTGGGATGTCTGGGTGGTCTGCTAAGTGTGCAATCAGCTGTATGTGAACTGACAATGGCTGTCCACAGACACTGCGCATCTCCCTCCTCTTAGCAGCCCCCCGTGTAGTGCCCCCTGCTGGGAGTCTCTTATGTTAGCCTTCCAGGGACCCTAATGTTGCCTCACTGGTTTTCATTCACTTCCCTTTGATTAACAATAATGTTTTGAACAACTCTTCCTGTGCTTACTGGCCATTCCTATGTCTCTTTAGTGACATGTCACTTCAGATAATTTGCCCATTTGTCAAATTGGATTATTTTCTTCTTACTGAGCTGTAGGAGTTCTGTATCCGGCACAGCCCTCCTTTATTAGATATAGGTGGGGTTTTTGTTTTATTTTTTCCATTTTGTTAATGGCGTTTTTCATGGAGCAGAAGTTATTCGTTCATTTCATGGAATCCAATTTTATATTTTTTCTTTGGTTTGTTTGATGTCCTGGTAAGACATTTTTACTTTCCCTGAGGTTAATGTTTTCTCTCATTTTCTTCTGTAAACTCGAGAGATTTTACATGACTCCTGAGTTCATTATTGGGCTTCAGGTGTAGTTGTGTCTTCTTTCTTTTTCCTCCCATTGCTGTAGCATCATTTGTGGTATCGACTTTTATATTTCCCCATTAAACTCCCTTTAATCGTTGCCAAAAGGCAGTTGACCATGTGTGTGAGAAAAGCTTTCTAAAATTCGCTAATCCAATCAAAAAATGGGCAAAGGACCTAAATAGACACCTTTCAAAAGAGGACATTCAGAAAGCCAAGAGACATATGAAAACATGCTCAAAGTCACTAATCATCCGAGAGATGCAAATCAAAACAACAATGAGGTACCATCTCACACCTGTCAGACTGGCTATCATCAACAAATCAACAAACGACAAGTGCTGGAGAGGATGTGGAGAAAAAGGAACACTTGTGCACTGCTGGTGGGAATGCAGACTGGTGCAGCCACTATGGAAGAAAGTATGGAGTTTCCTTAAAAAACTGACAATGGAACTCCCATTTGACCCTGTGATCCCACTTCTAGGAATATATCCCAAGAAACCAGAAACACCAATCAGAAAGGATATATGCACCCCCATGTTCATAGCAGCACAATTCACCATAGCTAAGATCTGGAAACAGCCTAAGTGCCCATCAGTAGATGAATGGATTAGAAAACTGTGGTACATCTACACGATGGAAAACTATGCTGCTCTAAAAAGGAAGGAACTCTTACCATTTGCAACAGCATGGATGGAACTGGAGAGCATTATGCTAAGTGAAATAAGCCAGTCAATGAAGGAAAAATACTACATGATCTCACTCATTCATGGATAATAGAGACCATTATAAACTTTTGAACAATAATAGATACAGAGGCAGAGCTGCCTCAAACAGATTGTCAAACTGCAGCAGGAAGGCCGGGGAGGGTTGCGGGGCAGGAGGTAGGGGGGTAAGAGATCAACTAAAAGACTTGTATGCATGCATAGAAGCATAACCAGTGGACATAAGACATTGGGGGATAGGGGAGGCTAGGGGACTGTCTAGGGCGGGGGGATAAAATGGACACATATGTAATACCCTTTGTAATACTTTAAGCAATAAAAAAAAAAAAAATCAAAAAAAAAAAAATAAAATAAAATTCGCTAATCCAAATCTTGATAGAGAGTATATAATTTTGCCCATCAACTTTTTAATGTTTAAAGATTTTTAATTAGACTCATTAAATAAAATAAAGTTAATCATATAATACAGCGCACAGTTGAACGGCTGGCTAGCATCTGAATGTCGTTAAACATCTTTAATATGCAAATTATTTCAGCCCCTGCCTTTTCGGGTAACAGGTTGCTGACAGGCTTGGTTTTGCTCCCTGTGGTTTTATAAAGGTGGGAACGAGATGGAAGGACGTGGTCTCCAAGTGCCTCCGGTGCCACTTCCAGCCCCTGCTGCTGTTTTACGCCAACCCCGACGGCACGGCGGTTTCCACCGAAGATGCACTCAGGCAGGTCGTCAGCTGGCCACATCAGAGACCCGGGGTGGAAAATATGGGTAATTCTTTGCCTTTTAGTTTAGTGTTTTTTTTTCTGACAGTCATACTAGGAATACTAATATCCTATGTAATAAAAGGCTAATATGCAAATGGACCGAATGGTGGAATGACCGGTAGGAGCTGCCCTCTGGTGGTCAGTGTGCTCCCACAGGGGGAGTGCTGCTCAACTAGAAGCCAGGCTCATGGCTGGCGAGCACAGTGGCGGGCGGTGGCGGGAGCGCTAAGGTGTCTGATGGCTTAGGCCCCTGAGGGCTCCCGGACTGTGAGAGGGTGCAGGCTGGGCTGAGGGGACTCCCCCAGTGCAAAAATTTTGTGCACCAGGCCTCTAGTACTGAATGTAAAATGAAGGTTGAGGATAATTTAAAAATTTAGTTTCAGACGGAGTTCAGGAAGATTCTAATACATTGAGTTAATCTTTATCATCTTTCCTGACCAGTGGCCTCACAGGCCCCCCTGGGAGCCACCCACGACAGTGGTCACACAGGCACAGAGGGGCTGCCAGCTGCGAGCTCTTTCTAGCAGGAGGCATTGGGATTGAAAGTGAGGTAGCCACTGGGAACACCCAGAGCAGCGAGGGAGTCTTTGTGCGTTCACGGCACTTAGAAATCCTTGGAAGATGTCAGTCCTCTGAGTTTTAGTAATTGTCTACAGTATTAAAAGCATCTGAAAGGATGACTCAGACATCTGTTCTGGTAGGAGGAGGAAAGGAATGATGCATTTGTGCTTGTCTTTTTAAGGATCTGAAAGGCCCTCGATTTATAAGTCAGATAATTCCAAAGAGAATGGATTTGGTGATCAGGACAAACAGAGAGAAAATCAGAAATTTCAAACAGATGACATTTCATCCTTCGGTCGGAGCCACATCCCGGTGAGCAGTGGCCGAGGAACAGGTATGTGTTTCAGTTGCCGTCTTCACAGTCCCCGAGGAGACGCGCTGGCCCGGCTTCACTTCCTGACTCGCTCCTGGCAGGGACCAGGCGACAGTAACAAGCAGCAGCACAACTGCCTTTCCATTGATGCGCGTCTGAGATGTGTGGCCTCATCGGGACAGTTGGACCCGACCAGGGCCTGAGTTTCTCCACGGCTCCCAGCCCTCGCAGGCTAGAGGCAGTCTGGACTGTTACCAAAACTGTGGCCTCTCCTTCAGGTGGCCGTTACCAACCTGAGAGGAAAAACACAACCATTCGGCTCACGTGCCAGAATTAATTTACAATTAGCGACTGCAGTGGCAGTTCAAAGCTACAGTCAAGTTTGTTCTTATCCTCGTTGTCATTCAGCTCTCCTGTTATTGTCATCCCACAACTTTAATTTTCACACCCCGAGTTCAGTGACAGGTCCAGAGTGAGACCTCAGTGCGGTGTGCAGCACGGCTCAGAGACACCCTGACTCTCCTTGGGTGGCTGTTCAGGATGCTTTGTAAGCAACTTTTAAAAAAAAATTTTGCTGTTAATCCTCACCCGAGGATATTTTTTCAAGAGAGAGAGGAAGGGAGGGGGAGAGACAGAGAGAGGGAAACATTGATGTGAGAAAGACACATCGATTGGTTGCTTCCCACACGAGCCCCAACTAGGGCTGGGGATTCAGGGGCCTTCAACCAAGGTATGTGCCCTTGACAAGAATCAAACCTGGGACCCATCAGTCCACAGGCCTACACTCTATCCACTGAGCCAAACCAGCTAGGACTGTTTTTTGTTTTGTTTTTAAAATTGATTTCAAAGAGAGGAAGGGAGAGGGAGAGAGAATTAGCCATCAGCTGCTTCCTGCATGCCCCCTACTGGGGATCAAGCCCATGGGAATCGAACCATGACCTCCTGGTTCATGGGTTGACGCTCAACCACTGGCCACACCAGCCGGGCAACTTTTTAATATATTAGTGAAATAATGTTTAACCAAAAAGGTAACCCATAATCAAGGGAGGTAGGATTCAGAATTAACAGTTACCATCAACAAAGAAGTACACTAAGTGCTTTTTAAAATTCTAAATGGAAACATACCGTTTCCCTCTTATGTATTGTTGATACTTTTTATCTGTTTTTCTAAACATACCTAATTTAAGCCCAGGAACTGAGTGTGTGTTCACATACACTTTGGCATCAGACAGCTTGCCGCTATCTGTATCTACATTGTGAGTGATGTGAACTTGGCAGGTTCGTTACTTCTGCTTTTCGATCCCAGATGGAGCTGTACTTGTGCTCATCTCGAGATGGAAGTGAGTTAGGACACGTGGTGCCCATCACCAGCCTTTAGGTCTTACATTTCAGTAGAAGCTCATTCTCCTGCACACTAACTTTAGATGCTTGACAAGTTTTAAAGGTAACACGCATCTCCATTGCCAGGAGACATCACACTAACTTGATTTAGTTAAACATAAAAATGAGTTTACTCTTACTTTAATGCGTGTTTTGTTTTTAACACAGAGTGTCTTACATGTTTCATACAGTGCAGTTTGTGTGCGTAGTGAGCAGTTAGAAAATGATGTGCTTCCTGACTGGATGACTGGTTTCCCCTACAGCTAAGTCGGGACCTAGCGACGCCCGCGAGAAGATGAAGGGCCTCTCCAGGGAGTGTGCCCTGAAGGCGCTGGAGCAGAGGCGCCTCCTGTGCTCGCAGAAGAGGGATGTGGGTCGGCACCGAGGTGAGCCAAGGGCGGGCAGCGCACGTTGGAAAGGGACCCTAAAGCCTTATCGGAACACTACATTTTATAGCTTGAATACAGTTTAACCATCCTATCCTACATAATAAAAGGGTAATATGCAAATTGACCGAAAGGTAGAATGACTGGTCTCTATTACACACACTGACCACCAGGGGGCAGACACTCAATGCAGGAGCTGCCCCCTGGTGGTCAGTGTGCTCCCACAAGGGGAGTGCTGCTCAGCCAGAGGCCAGGTTCACAGCTGGCGAGCGCAGCGGCGGTGGCAGGAGCCTCTCCTGCCTCTGCGGCAATATTAAGGATGTCCGACTGATCGGACATCCCCTGAGGGCTCCCAGATTGTGAGAGGGTGCAGGCTGGGCTGAGGGACCGCTTCCCCACCCCTTGAGTGCACGAATTTCGTGCACCGGGCCTCTAGTTTTAAATATATGTATCTGTTTATATGTCATGTATCTTAATATGATTTCTCTCTCTAATACACCTGTTGAACCTGTAGATGTAAATTTTCCTCATTCTTGTTTAATTCTAGTCTGGAATACTTTGCTGTTTTAGCTTTTGATTCAAAATTAAATGAATAAAAGTTAATTTCTTTAAAATTTTTTTAAATATGTTTTTATTCATTTCAGAGAGGAATAGGGAGAGGGAGAGAGAGAGGGAGGGAGGGAGAGGGAAACATCAATGATGAGAGAAAAGCATTGATTGGTTGCCTCCTACACCCTCCCTACAGGGGATTGAGCCCACAACCCAGGCATGACCCGTGACCTCCTGGTGATGAGCCACACTGGCTGGGCAATTTATTTAATTTTTAATTAAAATTGATTGCAGCCCACTCGTGGTGCACTCAGTGAGGAGGATTATAGAAAAAGTGACAGGAGCTCGCATTCCTGGCGCCCCGACCGCCCCTCGGTCCCCATCGTTGTTCCGTTCACCACGAGCCTCAGCACTTCCCTGTGCACAGCCAGGTGTAACTGAGACGCGGCCTGTAGAAAGGGTGAGAGGTTGGCCTTTGTGTGCCCGTGTGTACAGCCACAGCAGAATCCTTGCCAGGAATCGCTGGGTCAGGGGGTCTGTTTTGGACTTGGTCGCTGTGGCTCAGTTGCCCTCCTAATGGGGGACCCGTCCACGGTCCCACCACAGCGACTGGGCGTCTGCCCTCCCCCTCCGCAGCGATTGATCTCACAGACTTTCGACACTCTGCTAGCATGAGAGGTAGAACATATTTTTATGATTTTCATAAATGAGGTGGAATACTGTTTTTTAAAAAAACTAATTACCTTGTGATCTCTCTAGAGTTATTTTAAAGTCAGTATGTAGCCGTTTAATTTACAAACGCCTCAGCACAGGACTCGAGCCCTGGGTGGTGGAATCGCCGCTTCCTCCTCCTGCTTAGACATCTTCTCCAAGTGGCTGTGGCTGAGGCGGCCCTGAGAGTGGTCGTGTGTCTCCTTATTTGTTTTAAAGATGTGCTGGATGAAGACCTTCCACGCGTCAAGTCCAGATCACCGCCTGCCCCAAACGGCTTCCGACAATACGGCAGTCGCCCCTTGTCCCCCCGTCAGGGGCGGGGGCCGTGTGGCCAGGATCCACCCACCCAGAGCCGGGCGTCTGCGCAAGTCCCGCGTGCGGGGAGGCCCCAGGCTCCTGGTCTGGGGGTGCAGGGCGACAGCGGCCCTGGGTACGAGACAGACAGCAGCCTGGACTCTCGGGGTAAAGGCAGCAGCCGCCACAGCAAGAGCGGGAGCCGAGCCTGGAAGCCCATGAGAGAGACCCTGAATGTCGACAGCGTCCTCAGCGAGAGTGAGAAACGGCAGCACAGTCCACGGCACAGGCCGAGCGCCAGTCACACGCCCAGGTGCAGGGACCAGAGCCCCAGCAGCTGGCCCCAGGGGCCGCCGAAGCAGAAGTGCTTGATGACCATCTACGAGGATGAAGCGAGGCAGGAGCTGGGCAGCAGGCGTTCCCCCGACGGCCCGGGGAAAGGCCTCGCCGAGACGGGCGTCCCTGGTGACGCCTGGCAGGGGCAGAGGACTGAGTCCGGCAGTGAGAGCAGTGGCCACGTCAGCAGCGGCTCCGCCAGCCTGGACTCGCCGGGTGCAGATGGTGCCGGGACCGCGGAGCCCGCCAGGTAGTGCGGTCATGGGAGGGAGCGCCCTCCCCAGAGGCCTCCTTAATCATTTGGAGTGATTTTCAAAGTCCAGGGTCTGCTCAGTGTGATGGAAGGAGCTTGAGCTCAAAGGAACGACACCTGGGACACTGCGGGTCGTTCGATGTTTCAGGTTCTTATTTTCAGTGGTTATTTCCAGATTCCAAAACACACAGCTGTGCAGGAGACGGAAATTATAGAAATACGTTCTCATGGCCGCATTGAAAGCTGTTGAAAGGTGCTACAGGTGTAAAGCGCAGCCCTGAGTGGGTTGCTGTGCGGCCATGAAGCTGGTTGTTTAATTCTTGCATCTAGTTCATGCCTATTCTCCCGCCTCTGGCATTTGTACCTCGGACATGGGGCTATTTTATGCTCACAGCCCCGCCCGTGGAGACACAGTTTCCTTCAGCAGATGTGGAAGAGTGCAGCCACCCCACTGGGTTTGTGCTCAGTGATTCTGAGCGTGTGGGATCGCTGTCCTGGTCCATTGCACTCAGGAACCCGGGAACCCTGCCCCCAGCCTGCTCAGCGGCTGGCTTCCTGGGTCAGCCTATCGATTTTATGCTTTTAGTCCATCCAGAACATTGTGCTTTGATATTAGATGGTGCTTCACCACCTTCATTACTAAAACGCCAGATGTGCAGAAATCAGCTGCTTGTGTTCCATTAACAGCCGGGGAACTTCTTGTCAGGCAGGGGATTTCAGCTCCTGGGGAGGAGTGGCTTAGGGTGGTAGAGAGGTCAGGGCTTCGTAACCTTGGGTTTTACTTATTGGGCAAATTAACTTCACTTCCTCGCCTCAGTCCGCTGTTAGCTGCGGGTGATGAGTGCTGTGAGTGCCCTGGTGAGAGGCAAGTGAATCGTGTGCGTTAACACCTAGAACAGCACGTGGCATTTGCAATCACTGAACAAGTGTTGTTTTCTTTCTCCGTCTCAGAGTAAACTGAAATGGTAATTCATGGTAGCTGACGTGTCCCGTGTGTGCTTTGTTCTGTTTTTTAGAGACCAGAGTAAGACAAGCAACCAAAATACGGAACGTGTGAACTGTGCCTCCCAGCAGCGTGAAAACCACCTGGAAGGTAACTTTTCATTCAGATAGATTGGAATTGTCTCATCAGAGTGTGAAGCTAAAGCGGTCCTGTCAGGAGAAGTGATGAGCGATGAGGTGGAGGTGAGCGGAGCCCGAGCTGGGAGCCTTTGCAGGGATGGCAGGGGAGTGTCACTCAGGGCGGCTCCGTCCTCGGCTGGACAGCGGTGAGGAGCTCAGGTCCCAGGGTCATAGCGCTGTTTCTTGTTCATGTCCGTGTACAGGACGGTCAGCCTGCTGACTGACCCAGGTGATCACGGGCCCAGTGACGGGACCCCGTCGGCACTGATGCTTCTTGGCCACGGCTGTATGGAGGTGTCAGGCACCAGGCACGCCACACTCCTCTCACTGGCCAGGCAGGCCTCCGCCACAGGCCTGATTGCAGAGAGGAAGGGCCATGTCACATGCACAACACCCGGTGTCCACCACAGGGCCAAGGGCAAAGAAACTGTCCGCAGCTGCGGGGCAAGCTCAGTCGGAAACAGTGGGCACTGGTGCGGTCGCTCGGTGCCTGTGGCGCGGTTGCTCCGGTGGTCTCTCAGGTGCCTGTGGCGCAGTCACTCCGGTGGTCTCTCAGGTGCCTGTGGCGCGGTTGCTCCGGTGGTCTCTCAGGTGCCTGTGGCGCAGTCACTCCGGTGGTCTCTCAGGTGCCTGTGGCGCAGTCACTCCGGTGGTCTCTCAGGTGCCTGTGGCGCGGTTGCTCCGGTGGTCTCTCAGGTGCCTGTGGCGCGGTCGCTCCGGTGCCTGTGGCGCGGTCACTCCGGTGGTCACTCCGGTGCCTGTGGCGCAGTCACTCCGGTGGTCTCTCAGGTGCCTGTGGCGCGGTCGCTCCGGTGGTCTCTCAGGTGCCTGTGGCGCGGTCGCTCTGGTGCCTGTGGCGCGGTCACTCCGGTGGTCTCTCAGGTGCCTGTGGCGCGGTCGCTCCGGTGGTCTCTCAGGTGCCTGTGGCGCGGTCGCTCCAGTGGTCTCTCAGGTGCCTGTGGCGCGGTCGCTCCGGTGCCTGTGGCGCGGTCGCTCCGGTGGTCGCTCAGGTGCCTGTGGCGCGGTCGCTCCGGTGGTCTCTCAGGTGCCTGTGGCGCGGTCGCTCCGGTGGTCTCTCAGGTGCCTGTGGCGCGGTCACTCCGGTGGTCTCTCAGGTGCCTGTGGCGCGGTCGCTCCTGTGGTCTCTCAGGTGCCTGTGGCGCGGTCACTCCGGTGGTCTCTCAGGTGCCTGTGGCGCGGTCACTCCGGTGGACTCTCAGGTGCCTGTGGCGCGGTCACTCCGGTGGTCTCTCAGGTGCCTGTGGCGCGGTCGCTCCGGTGGTCTCTCAGGTGCCTGTGGCGCGGTCGCTCCGGTGGTCGCTCAGGTGCCTGTGGCGCGGTCACTCCGGTGGTCTCTCAGGTGCCTGTGGCGCGGTCACTCCGGTGGTCTCTCAGGTGCCTGTGGCGCAGTCGCTCCGGTGCCTGTGGCGCGGTCACTCCGGTGGTCGCTCCGGTGCCTGTGGCGCGGTCGCTCCGGTGCCTGTGGCGCGGTCGCTCCGGTGCCTGTGGCGCGGTCGCTCCGGTGCCTGTGGCGCGGGTCGCTCCAGTGCCTGTGGGGAGGGTCGCTCCGGTGCCTGTGGCGCGGGTCGCTCCGGTGCCTGTGGCGCGGGTCGCTCCAGTGCCTGTGGCGAGGGTCGCTCCGGTGCCTGTGGCGCGGGTCGCTCCGGTGCCTGTGGCGCGGGTCGCTCCGGTGCCTGTGGCGCGGTCTCTCAGGTGCCTGTGGCGCGGTCGCTCCGGTGCCTGTGGCGCGGTCGCTCCGGTGGTCGCTCAGGTGCCTGTGGCGCGGTCGCTCCGGTGGTCTCTCAGGTGCCTGTGGCGCGGTCGCTCCGGTGGTCTCTCAGGTGCCTGTGGCGCGGTCGCTCCGGTGGTCTCTCAGGTGCCTGTGGCGCGGTCACTCCGGTGGTCTCTCAGGTGCCTGTGGCGCAGTCGCTCCGGTGCCTGTGGCGCGGTCACTCCGGTGGTCGCTCCGGTGCCTGTGGCGCGGTCGCTCCGGTACCTGTGGCGCGGGTCGCTCCAGTGCCTGTGGCGAGGGTCGCTCCGGTGCCTGTGGCGCGGGGCGCTCCGGTGCCTGTGGCGCGGGTCGCTCCGGTGCCTGTGGCGCGGTCTCTCAGGTGCCTGTGGCGCGGTCTCTCAGGTGCCTGTGGCGCGGGTCGCTCCGGTGCCTGTGGCGCGGATCGCTCCGGTGCCTGTGGCGCGGTCGCTCCGGTGCCTGTGGCGCGGTCGCTCCGGTGCCTGTGGCGCGGTCGCTCCGGTGCCTGTGGCGCGGTCGCTCCGGTGCCTGTGGCGCGGTCGCTCTGGTGCATTGCCAGCAGCCAGTAGAAGCCCAGAAGCCAAGGGTGTTGGGGGGAGGGGATGTACAGAACTTGCCGTGCTGTCGAGGGGCCCGTGTGTCTGGGAGGCTCGGGGGAACCATGAGCAACTACTATTGAGGTTGCAGGGACCAACAGTAGAAATGGTAAAATTCAGAGGATTAGAAGGAATTTAATTTTTCAAAATAAACAGTAGCCATAAAAAACAAACTTTAAATTTGTTTTCAGTGTTTATCCTCCTGAAGCCCTGTGGAGACCATTGTTCAGGTGGCAGACTTGAATATGGCTAAGCGCTAACTTATTTTGTTCCCATCAAAGGGTGTAATATCAGAAGGAAACACTGATATTGAGGAAACAGCCTTCCTTTCCCATGTAAATGTCCCGCCTGTTTAACAGATCTGATCACGTCTGGTAAGCGAGCATTACAGGAAGCAGCGAAGGGCTGGCCAGAGGCCGCCGCCGAGGTGGGGAGCTTGAACAATGACCCCAGTTCAGGGTCTTGACAGAACGGTGCTGGCCTCCGTAGAGCATATCGCACGGGCCGTGGGGCCTGCGGTCAGGAGTGTGCTGCCCCACGTGAGAGCGGGAGAGTGGGCACTGGTTTCCCATTGAACACCAGAGAGTGGGCATATAGCCCATTTAGAACAATGTTTTTAAATATATTTTTATTGATTTCAGAGAGGAAGGGAGAGGGAGAGAGAGAGAAAGAAATGTCAATGGTGAGAGAGAATCATTGATTGGCTGCCTCCTGCACACCCCCTACTGGGGATCGAGCCCACAACCCAGGGATGTGCCCTTGACTGGAATTGAACCCGGGACCCTTCAGCCCACAGGCCAACGCTCTCTCCACTGAGCCACACCAGCCAGGGCTGAAACAATTCTTATGGTGGTAAAATACGCATGACCTTGGCCATTCTAATAACCACTTTTAAGTGACAGCTCAGTGGCATAAAGTCTACTCACATTGTTATGCAGCCCACACCTCCCCCATCTCCACTCTCATCTTCTCACACTGAAGCTCTGCCCCCATCCCTCTCTCCCTGCTCCTCCTCCCGCCCCCCCGCTCCCCCCACCACAGCCACCTTGCTTTCTGTCTCTGAACTGGACTAGTCTAGGCACCCCAGAGAAGAGGGATCGAACTGACTGTTTGGTGACTGGCTTATTTCACTTCACATGTCTTCAGGTTTCATCCCTGTGGTGCCTGTGTCGGAATTCCCCTCCTTTTCAAGGCGGGAGAGTTTCCATTGTGTGACCTGATGCGTTTGTGTATCCACCTGTCTGCTGTCGGACATTCGGGCCCCTCCACCTGTGGCCGTCGGGAGCAGCACTCCTGTGAGCCCGGGGGACAGGGACCTGAGAGTGCACCCGGCGTGGCTGCTGGGTCCTGAGGGACCATCCCAGCAGCTGCACATTCCACAGGCCTGCAGTGCACGGGTGCCCGCTCTCCACCCCTCCCAGCACCCGTATCGCCTGGGCTCCTTGATGGTTGCCATCCTAACGGGTGTGTGAGCCTCTTTTTATTTAGCTACATAAATTGCATCTGTTAAAATTATTTCTTGCCCAGTGGCGTGGCCTATGAACTGAGAGGTCACAGCGCAATTCCCAGAGCATATGCCTGCGCTGAGGGCTCAATCCCCAGGAGGGGCTGCAGGAAGCAACCGATGGATGCTGTTCTCTCTCATCGATGCTTCTGTTTCTCTCTTCTTCTGCTTTCCTCTCTTTAAAATCAATAAAATACACTCACTCATCTCCTGCTGGGCACGTGGACTGTGTCCAGATCTTAGCTATGGTGAATTGTGCTGCTATGAACATGTGGGTGTACACATTCTTTCTGGTTTGTGTTTCGGGTTTCTTAGGATATATTCCTAGAAGTGAGATCACTGGGGTCAAATGGCAGTTCCATATTTAATTTTTTTAGGAAACGCCAGACTATTTTCCATAGTGAGTGGCTCCACCAGTCTGCATTCCCACCAGCAGTGCACGAGTGTTCCTTTTTCTCCACATCCTCTCCAGCACTTGTCATTTGTAGATTTGTTGATGTAGCCATTCTGACAGGTGTGAGGTGATACCTCATTGTGAGGTGATAGCCCAAGTGCCCATCAGTAGGTGAGTGGATAAAAAAGCTGGGTACATTTATACTCTGGAATACTATGAAGCTGTAAAACAGAAGGAACTCTTACCCTTTGCAACAGCATGGAGGGACCTGGAGAGTATAAGCTAAGCGAAATAAGCCAGTCAGAGAAAGACAAGTGTCACATGATCTCACTCATACATAGAATCTAATGAACAGAATAAACTGATGAATAAAATAAATCCAGAGACATAGAAGCATGAACAGACTGAGGCGGAAGCTCAGGGAAGGCGGGGGAGGGAGGGTGGTGGGGAAGTGATCACTAAAGTGCTTGTATGCATATGTGCGTAAGCCATGGACACTGCCAATAGGCGGGCGAAGGCCTGGGGCAGGGGCAGGCTAGAAGGGGTCAATGGGGAGGGGGAAGGGACATATGTAATACTTTCAACAATAAAGATTTAAAACTAAATATATAAAAAAAGACTGAGATGGATTTACAGTGTCATCCAGAATAAAGCATGACTGAAGTGTAGACACCCTCAATTTTAAAAATGTCTGATTCCGAGCACATCAGAGCCCCCGTGGTTCTTA